CCCCCACTACAGAAAGTATGTGGAATAATTGGAGTGAATCCAGTGGAGGGCAACAAAAATGGTGAGGGGCTGGGGGACATGACTTATGAGGAAAGACAGGAAACTGGGCTTATTTAGTCTAGAGAAGAGGAGACTGAGAGGGGACTTACTAGCAGCCTTCAACTACCTGAAATGGGGTTTGAAAAAGAGTGGAGCTAGACTGTTCTCAGTCATGGCAGATGACAGAACAAGCAGCAATGGTCTCAAGTTGCAGCAAGGGAAGTTTAAGTTCAATATTAGGAAAAATATTCTCACTAGGAGGGTAGTAAAACACTGGAACAGGTTACCCATAGAGTTGGTGGAAGTTCCATCCTTGGAGGTTTTCAAAACCCAGCTAGACAAAGCTTTGGCTGGGATGATCTATTTGGGGATGGTTCTGCTTTGAGCAGGGGGTTGGACTAGATGATTTCCTGAAGTCCCTTCCAATCCTAACTTTCTATGATTCTAGTGGGTGGTTACAGCTCAAGTGCATATACAGTGGTATAGGGCAGTGGTCTCCAAACTTTTCTGATAGCGCACTCCTATCAGTAAAAAAATTTTGAGCACGCACCCCCATTATATGTATATTTATATAAATATAAATATAAATAGAAGTTCTAATATTTTCTTCCCGCACCCCAATGGATCGTCTTGTGCACCCCCTGAGGTGCGTGCACCCCACTTTGGAGACCACTGGTATAGGGGAGGGTTCAAAAGAGGTTGGACAGCCACTGGTCAGGGATGATCTAGGAATAACTATGCCTATGCTCTACTATGGATGTTTCCATGCTTCTGGACACTGCTGTTTGTCATCCCTCCCCTCCTTCCCCCCACCCACCCTCCACCTTCCACTACATATGTTCGGGTGTTTTTAAGCCTTCCTCAGAGGCACTGGGTGCTGGTTGCAGCCAAGGCTGAGGATTTTGACTGGGGTGTGCTAATTCCTGCTGAGACCAAAGCTGGAGCTTGGTCTGCTCAGGAACAACCTGATCACCCTGTTTGGGGTCAGGAAAATTTTTTACCCCATAGTCAGATTGTATGGACTGTGGGGGTTTTTGCCTTCCTCTGTAACACGGTCGTGACCTTCTAGAATAGAAGCAGGACATTGGCTGCCATGGATCCCTGCTTTACCTGTGGCAGCTTAGGGTGCTAGGTCTGTGTTGTGCCAGGGTTCAAGGTAGTTTTATGCAGAGTTTATATTGTGGTTTGTATAGGATGGTTTTGATAGGGATGATCCTGCCTCAGGCAGGTGGTTGGACTAGATGACGTCTGGAGGTCCTGTCCAGTCCTACTTCTCTATGATTCTATGATTCTGTTGACAATTCTATTCAAAATCCTCTATTCACCAATCAATTTTTCATATGGAGGAATTTATTCCAATCTTTTTGTGATTAAATTAAAACCAATAATTCTGAGGTGACTAAAATACATAGGATAAAAATGGTTCAAAATGCATGTTGTCAACATTCAGCCATTTGAGCACATTAAAAAACTTTTCTAATGGATTTTTTTAGTCACTTTAATTTTGAAAATTAATACTCTATAATTTTGAACGTGGACACCCTATAAATTCTATAATGAAAATAGACGTATTTTTCACACTTGTCTATGGCATGTGTTCACAGAAAATTATCTTTCAGATTTCAAAATGATCTAAAGGTCTGTTTCTTCATCAGGTATGTTGAGCTATACAAAGTTATATGTGTGGTAAAGTGCAGAATAATATGTTACACGCAATAACAACACTGCTTTATTTAAAAAAAAAGAGAGATTATGAGACGGTTACATTGTTACCAATGGGCTGCTACAGGCTACTCCATTCTGTTACTCCATCTCTACTCTCTCCCAATAAAAAAAATATTTTTCACAGTTATTGTCTCCTATTCTGTCTCTATAGTTACTTCCAACTTTGGTGGCAGTTGTTCAGTCATGTAGAGGACTGAAGCTTGATATTTTCATGCAAGAAAAGTATCAAGCAAAATATTTTACATGAAATGCTCCCATAATATAAAATAAATAAATCCGCGTTCCAATAACAGATGAAGGTAGATTTACTGTCTGACATCATGCTCCCATTAACATTTTTATGGGACTTGTTTGCTAACAAAACCAACATAGATAATAATATTATAATAAATTCTAAAGTATTTTGTGTTAATAGATGTCAAAACATTTTGCAAAGCAAATCAGTATTATCATTTCCATTTTACAGATAGGAAATTGAGACATGAAGAAGCCAATTGACTTGCCCCAGAAGTATTATGTCAAATGGTACTAGTTATCAGGGTGGCTGATAATACTAGAGAACAGACATATTTTGTTAAATGTACTAAGAATTGTCCCCACTAAATGCAGATCAGTTACCTTACAGGAAGTTTGCCTAGTCTTGTAGCATATCACAGAGACGTGTTTTATTTTCAGCAGCTTTACCATTAAATGGGCCATACAACTGTTGATCTTCTCATATGCAGAAAATGAATACAGAATGTAGGATCATGAATTGGAAGACCAAATAAGGGCTGCATGACAATGCAGATGTATAAAAATGTGGGATTCCTCAGTGTTGTATGATATGGAAGGGCACATGGCAGATTTATGCAAAATAACTAACAGAATGCTAAGAGAGATCAAAACCTCCTGTCCTTACCACACAGTAGAACTAACTGAAGTGAAAGTGAGGCTGGATATCTAGTAGGCAAAGAAGAGATATTTAGTTTATAGTCTGAAATAAATCGCTGTATAAATTAATGCAGTTGGGTATTTTGTCAAGCCAATGATTGTTTGGGGGGGAAATACACTCTGGGGCATTGATTTTTAGATTCCTTCAAAGTGATGTATGTGCTCCCATTATCTTGGAGGAACATGCAAGGTCCTGAGCGAGAAAGACAGCTGATACCTGAGGCCTAATGTCTGACAGTCAGCATCCAGGCATTACAAGGGGAGGAAGAGGCGTGGAGTATAAAAGATTACTGTGCCTCTTTACCCTTTCCCTTTAATCTCACCTAACTAATTCCAACAGCCAGGCTAGGAGTCCACTCAGATTCTAAATAAAGAAATGGGAAAGGCTTGTTGAAGCACATGCAAACAGCTTTGTCCTGATCTAAAGAAATCAGGAAGGAGAATCCAAAATGAGTTTTGTTGCTATTTTGCCAGCTGGAGGAGAAGACAACCAGGCTCTAACAATTATACGGACTTATACACTGGCCCTGTCTAAAGTCATCTCATGAATACAATTATCACAGAAAGACGCCTCTATTTTTTCCACTTAGATAAACTGGAAAAACCACGTCCACAAATTAATGTGTCCTCTACCTCAACCAGGAGGCCAGCCAATACCTTTTAGGGCTCATCAGTATTGAGACTGTACCAGACTTGTATTTTCTTAGTTGTGTTATGAGTCCTCTCTTCCCCTACTCTAGCTCTGATATTACTGGGATGAGTAAAAAACAGGTTCCCATATTGGGGGGTAGAATACTAGATACTAACTGAGAAGGAGCCGATGGTGTGGTTGTTCAACTAATATCTCCACTTTGACATTTGTTCAAAGTCACCATTGGCCATCTGACTGAGACTTGTTTTTCTCCCCTTCCAGGTATCCGGGCTGTATTCTCACCTTTCCTTCCCACCTCTATGTCTGGGTGAGACATAGCTTCCTCATGTGAAAAATGGTAAAAATACTTACCTACTCTGAACAAATACAAGGATAGGCTTAACTGGGTAACGGCCTCTACTATTTGAGATCTTTCAATGGAATGTGCTATGCAGAATGTAACAATGCCAAAGTAACCTACTGCAATGTATACTGTATCAGGTATAGCAAAGAAGGTTACATTTAACCTATCTATTTTAAAATCCTGAAATGAAGACATACATTTTCAAATATGTCTGGATCCATGGTGGGAAACGTGCCAACATTACACTGTAGTGCTTCAGGTTCATTAGTTACCACTAGCATTTGGCAGTACCTAAATTTGAAGGGCCTATCTGCTAAAATCTCAAACATAAGCAGCTCATATTGACATATGTCCTTTTGATCTGGAAGATCTAAAGTATCATATACATTTAAATCCAGCACAGATCATTTATACAGGCATCATTTCACTCACCAGTAGTACATAACCTGTAAGTGAGTAAAACATAGCAGCTATTCAAAAAGACATTATTCAAGAAGACACTATACAATATTGTACAATAATTTTAAAAAGAAGATGAAAACAGAATATCCAAGTGAAGCTGTAAATAAGATTTAGGAAGTTGTTGATAGAATTAGACAAAAGTGTATGAATGCAGGAATTTTTCAGCTATATATCAAATGCCAACCCAGACCAATCAGCTTAGCCTGTGAATTTCAACAGGACCCTTGCACAAGATGATATGAGGGCTGAAAAAATTGCCATAGCTAGCAACAGGCAGCCAAATGTACACAACTTACAAAGAGTATTGCTTAATTATAAGGACACAAAGTAGTCGTGTTTCATACTTACTTTCCATTCCCATATTTTATTCGGATGTCCTTGCTTTTCTTCAGTTCTTTACCATCTTTAAACCACTTGTAGGAGGGCTGAGGATTCCCTGAAGTAGCCTCACATTTCAGTGAAATCTTATCCCCCACATGAACATTTGGACTCTTCAGTTTCTTCAGTTTTGGAGGAACAGCTGCAAAAAGAAAAATCAGACTAAGATGAAACCTATCCCTTTAAGGGGCGTAGTGCAAGTTATGTAGTTGAGTTTCTCTCTGCTATGACTCTGAGAAAAGCATCTGATCTGCACTTTTCACAACTGTATTTCCTATATACTTCCTGAGAAGCTGGAACTTTTCATAAACACTTTGTCACTGTTAACTTCATTATTTTTGTAAAAAGCAAACAGGTGGGTTTCACACACAGTTGTATTCAGCATCTGACTTCAGGGTGAGACTGAGCTCACTAGCTTCCACCTTCCTCTTCCATCTGCTGCAGATTTCCAGACCAATCACTCCTTTTTTCTTTATGCATGAAGCAGGCTCTGTGCATATCCATGTGCACAAGATAAATGAAGACTTTATTCTGCTCCCTGAACTTGAAAGCCTGAAAACCAGACTGAGGGAAGGGCAGGAGGAGCTCAGGATATTAGCTCTCTAGAAATATTTTTACTTATCCCGATACTACTCCTGATAACCCTTTTTGTAAGGCATCTTCTTTTACCTCCGCTGCTGCTGCCACCAGACATAATGCTAATCCCAGAGTCTCTACAGATCTCAACCACAGCATTTGGCAACAGAAGGACGTTAATGGTTTGGGGGCTTCATTCTCTCTCCCTCCAGTTACATGCACTGAAGATTTCCTGAGGTTCCCATAACTGCCTACATAATCTGAGGATGTACTGTACATTAGCTTCTTGACTGCCAAAAAGGGAAAACTGAAACACATCCCAGCAGAGGAAACAACGCTGGTACAGAAGGTCATTCAGTCCCATCAACAGAACAGGAGCAACAGGGATCCTAAAATGAAAGCCTGCATGTGCAAAAGGATGAGGAGGGAGGGGCATCCATTCTCTGGGGCACTGCCAGAGACATAAAAGAATAAAAGCCCATTGCGAGGAATCTTTAAAAGGCCTTAGGAACTGTAACACCAGACAGGTCAGCCTCCCTAGTCTGAGACTTCTCTTTGAGTGTGACCTTTTCTGGATGCTTCAGAGGAGAAGGAAATAATATTGCTATACACATGCTACAAAAAGGTTGTAGGAGTTTGATTGGGAATTCACTACTCAGAGTTCTTTAAGATGAGAGGATCCTCCAGTCCCCGAGGAGAGGGAATGTGTCAGGGTGTGTGCCTGAGCTGTCCACTTGAGGGGCAAAGGAACATAAAATGGGATCCCTTCTCATAGGACACGTCTACACGAGATGCTGACTACCCAGCAGCCAAAAAAGACTGTGCAGTACCGTGTCACACCATGGAAATGCTAATATGCTACTGTGTTGTATTATTAGGCTACCACGCAGTAGCATCACCTAAAAGACTTGGCACTGCTGCACAGTAACTCTGGCTACTGCACATTTATTTAGTACTTGCTAATACAATATATTCAACAGCAGTGGCTCTCAACCTTTTGATTCCCTGGGTCCACCTCTTCGCTGCCCCCATAGCCAATTCTAACCCCTATACAGTCCCAGCCCCTATACAGTCCCACCGCCCACATGCCCTACAATACACTTACCACCCCACCATGTCTGCACCAACCACAGGCACAGCCCACAGTCCACCTCCCTCACTGTCCGCTTTCCACAAGCTCAGAAACCTCCAAGCTAGCTTTCCACAAAGGGAAAAACACAGCTACATTTGCATAGCTCTCAGTCTAACTCTAATTAGCCTACCTGCAGTGCCACATTGAGGTGATTCTGCTTTTTCCTGTGCTGAAATAACACACACAGGTCATGTCTACACAAGATACTAAATGCACAATAGACTAATTCTATTCAGCATTAGTGTGTCATGGCAAAAGCCGTGCTAATGCAGTAATGTGCAGTAGAATTAGTCTACTGTTCATCAATGTCTCTAAAAAGGCATGCAGTAGTGCTGGTTACTGTGCATTGAGTTAGTATCTGTTCCTACAGGTACTAAACTTAATGCACAGTAATAACAGCACATTAATACACATGTAGATGTGCCCACAGTGAAGCCTGGTGTCAAGAATGTTAAAAGGATGGTAAGCTGATCCCTCCCAGCATCCATGCTTGTAGCCCATGCTCAGCATCTTCATGATCCAACCATTAAGAATCAGTGACCTTGAGTAATGCAGCAAACAGTATAATACAGGGGAAAGGCTGGATGGGTACATCTCTCCTCTTCAAATGAAAAACTGGTGCCACTAAGAATAGGTCAATGGGAGTAGGTCCAAAGACATCATTGCACAAAATGGCCAAAGAGATAAGTAAGAGTCTTCCCGAGGGCTCTACTCACCAAATACCATCTCTGATCCTCTAATACCAACCCTTTTTCACTTTTTCCTTTCTCTACATTTCATGAATTAATAGGAAGCCTGAGAACTTTGTTACACCTTACACTGTGAGCTGCACAAATGTTGATCAGTGTTAGTGCCAGCTCGAGTTTCAAGGAGTTGCACTTCAGGCCAGCAGGGGCTTGGAAGGACTGAAAAGTAAGAATCCTTCCCTCCCATTTTCAGTTTCCTCCCAGCCACCTAGGGCACTTCCAGGGCTCCCCCCCTGCACTCAGGGTTCCCTCTCCCCTCCCCACCCTCCCGCTTACTTGTGGCTGCCCATGTTATCTGTCCCAGTGGAGTAAGCAAGGTAGGCTCACTGCCTAGCCAGCCACCTCTCCTGGGCTGCACCTCTTCTCTGGGCTGAGCCCACCCGGAAAACAGTAACAGAGATGCCAGTGGCCAGGCTAGTAGGTTAACTCTTCCCTGCCCACTAGAGAACACACAGCATGGGCAGCCAAAAGTAGGCGGGTGGGCACAGCCTGTGAGTAGGGATCTGGGGTGTTGGGGGTGGGATCTGTTTGTAGAATAGTTCCCA